ATGCACCCAAGGATCCCATTGGCCTTCTTGGCCACGAGGGCACACTGCTGCCTCATGGTCCACTTGTCGTCCACCATGACACCCAGGTCTTCCTCTGCAGAGCTGCTATCCAGAAGGTCAGTCCCCAGCCTGTACTGGTGTCTGGGGTTATTCCTCCCCAGGTGCAGAACCCTGCACTTGGCCTAAGTGGAGGAAGTAACTAGCATAGGGAGGAGGAAATCTTTTTAAAAGTTGTATACTCAATATGCTATTGAGAGGCATAAAATGGTAGGAAGTTCCCCAGTTGTAGTGATCCTACTTAATGGAGCACTTATCGAGCATTTTCTGTGTAGATAGTTACATTTCTCACCCTCACTGACGTACTGCAGAGTTTAATTGAATTACATATCATTTTTGCCATAGAAGAGCATAGTAGAGTCATAAGTGAATCTCATTCAGGACATGTACTCCAGAAGAAAAAATATATTGAGAGTCCCTATTCTTCAAGATAACCTAGTATACAGTAGGCCATGAGGAATGCTGATGTCTAGCTTGTCTGCATTCCTGAGCCTTCCTGTTTGCTGCAAGGAACTGAGCTCATACAAGCTCTCTGAACATCGGAATGGAGGAAACTGTGCCTTTTTCTTCTCCTTGACTAGAGCCTAACAGGGCATTCTGGACCTCCGTAAACTTAGTCTTAAATCAGACCCCATTTGCTGATCAACTTGGACTTTATGTTTCCGCTAACCTAAGTTTTGTGGTACCCAAGATCCCCATGCTACATGTGCTTTATATTGTACTGGTAAAGTAATTCAATGCTTTGGCCTGTGCCTTTAAATAAATAACTCTTTTGATATTTATATATTTTTTCCTCTTCATTCTAACAATTTTCAGTGGAATCTGGCTGAAATTATACTCCAGTTGTTTTCCACCAAAAAGAATGTTTTGGAAAATAAATCCTGCTGAGACAGAAACCATTTCCTTGGGCTGTGCCACTCTACAGGATAGAAGGCCTGGATACTGGAAGAAAGAATACATCTTCAGACAAATAGCTGCTGTCAAAACTAGAGTAATGCAGCTTGTTAAACCTGTAGATCCTCAAACAGGTCTTCCATGCAAAAACAGAGAAGCTATAAGGTAAGCAATGCCTAGTCACAGAAGATGCTTACTTAAATATGTAGGGAATATTAATGGCTTTGGAATAGCTGGAGGGATGGGAAAATAGAACTGTAAATGTATATTGTGATGGGAAGAGATGAGTATAGCCTGTAAATAGTCTAGTCCAAGAAATATAAGTAACAGTTAATAGTAATTTTACTATTTATTTATTTATTTTAAACTCCTCACCCCTTAAATTCAATTCCTAAATAACAGAGCATCTGGCTTGAGTTGGATCATTGTTCTGAAGGACAAAAATGGAAAGGAACACGTAATGGAGCAGGCAGATCTATCATTTAAGGACACATCTGTTACTATATTCTGGTATAGTGCATACTGGCCATGCTTAAACATCTTATCAACCCTAGAGTTATGTGGAGTGACTCCTCTGCTTCCTGACCAAAACAGAGGTACCAACACAAATGGGTGAGTCTTAACACAGGAACACAGGATTTTTGAGTTTTTTTTTTTTTTTTTTAACAGATTGATAATGTCTGTGCAGGAGCTATGTGAATTTGATTTGGCTTAATGAGCAAATTGTTTCCTTGAAAACATCTCTAATATTTCTTCCAAAGTCTGTGTCCTGTTCCTCACTGGTAGAGCTTTTCACTTGCAGCAAACAAGTTTCCTCATAAAGGAAGAAAATCTTTGCCTAACAATGAGATGGGCCTGCTGTGGGAAGTCAGCAAAGCAGCCTAGCCTCGAGGGAGTCTTGCAGTCTAATTATGTGGAAAGTTTATTTTTATAGAGATGATGATTCATAAAGAGAATATAGTAAAAGAAAAATTTCAGGCAGTTGGTGTATTTGTTTAACATAATCATGAGATGTTAAAGAGATTTTGAGTATACACGAGGATAATGTATTTCACAAATACTATCAGAATGTTAAGAGCAAAATTATAAAGCTTCAAAATTTCCAGAAGACAATATTAATTACAAGTTAATTCAATTGAAGGATATTTTTTGACCTCTTTATATGCCCTGTAGAAAGACTGTAGTTGTTCTTTTCCTTATTGTCCACAATCTTGAAATAAAACCCTAACTACTAAAAAAGCCCTGATCAGAAAAGGATTTACTATGGCATTGTATTCATATGGCCTATCTTTTTTATGGGCACAATAAGTTTGAGAGAGCAAGTCCCACATAAGTGAGGATTTTGATCCCTTCATTGTAAAGGGAAAGCTAACACCCAATGTAGATGAAACTCCCTGTATTTACACCAGCTTGACCAGCTTAAAGACGGAAAGGCCTATATCTCTTCCCTGGCCCAAACCATATAGTTCCTGAGATAATGTTAAGAAGTGCCTGTCTGCTGCTGTTTTGCCAACATAGTGCCCCGATTCTGCTGGGGAATCTAGAAAGCCAGCCAAAACAACAGCCAAAATCTGTGTAGTGTTTTAGAAATACTTGGTTCTCCATTCTGAGCAGATAACCTTCTTTCTGCTGTTCTTCTTTTTTTCTTTCTTTCTTTTTTTTTCCTGCTTATTCAATAGGAATGCCTGTAAAATATGAATTTGAATAAAAGGGTGTTTATGGAGCAAAATCACTTGAATTGAGGAGTAAAATTTAGAAATAATTTCCTGGAAAAAGGAAAGTTTCCTCTAAAAGAACCCTCTTGTATTCAGTTTGATCCTTTTTGTGCAATTTCATTTCTGTAGGGGAAAAAATTGCCTTCTAAGTAGCCTGCTTCATGCTGATAAATAAATGTATGTTACTAAGGTAATTCTGCAAATATCTTAAAAATAGGGCAAGCGTATCAATCTATTTTCAATTTATTTATTTATTGTCAGCAGTAGTTAGTCTATCTGGAATAAAAATCTATGTCTGTTCAGCCTGAAGAAGAGAAGGCTGAGAGGGGATCTAATCAGTGTATACAAATACCTCAAGGGAGGTAGTGAAGAGGATGGGGCCAGCCTCTTTTCAGGTGGCCACCAACAGAACTACAGGAAGTGGCCACAAACTGAAACACCAAAAGTTCCACAGGAACTTAAGGGGAAATTTTTTAACAGTGAGGGTGACAGAGCACTGGAACAGGCTGCCCAGAGAGGTTGTGGAGTCTCCTGCTTTGGAGACCTTCAAAACCCGCTTGGATGCAGTCCTGTGCCACGTGCTCTAGGTGACCCTGCGTGTGCAGGGGGGTTGGACTAGATGATCTCTAGAGGTCCCTTCCAACCTTAACGAGTCTATGATACTATGCTGAATACTTTCAAAATAGTTTTAATTATGTACTGTTGATCAAACTAAAATTGAAATGTAGGTGAAATTCTACATAGTAAGGGGCCATAGTGTTTTTCTTTTTACATACATATGTATATATATATTCTCTATGTTCTTTCCAAAGACCTCGTCGACGTTCCCTGATTGCTAAGTACAGCCTTTCTAACCTGACTAACACCAGTGTAGCAATTGGTGCTGATAAGCTTGTTCAAATCTTTTATTTGAATCCAGGACTCTTACTAGGACTTTGGAAGGTAAGATGATGCTTAACTTCAGGTTCATCCTTATGGCTGATTTGAAGAAAACAGTTTCTTTGCCTTTTACTTTTTTGAATGTTCCTTGTTCTTAAAATTTTAGAAGATCTTGCATAAACTCTAAGGACAGAAAATACAGACAGGGAAAGGTTTTTTTTCATTGTATTGTAGAAAGGTGTAATTGGAGTATCTGTATTTTCCGTATACTAAGAAGAAATGTAAAAAGTCAATTACATATCATAATATACTAGATGTGCTATTTGTTTTGGAGTCCTTATATACCAAAGTTACAAAGATACTTCAGAGAAGTTATAAATAGCTCAGGTTGAGGAGAGATGTTCTCTTTCTCCCTTTCTGCTATCCATAGCACTCAGTGTTGAGTTCCCCTGAGGCAACTTTGCTAGTTGTTGTTTCTTTTAGTCTATATCACCATGTTATCATGTACTGTTTCATTGGAACACTGAAACTGGTACCCTTTGGGGGATATTTGGTTTTTAGTATTAAGAGGTTACCCTCTGTTGAATTTAACAGATAAGTTTCTGTAAACTGTGTGTAGAGATGGACAGCTTTAGAGAGCAGTGCAAAACATCTGAAGCAGACTGCTATGCTCTGAGGAAATCTGTCTTTGCAGTGAATACACTGGGAACTGGAAGTTTGCCTAAAATCACATAGTTAGGTATTGGGAAAGCCTGGCTTAGAGCTCTTTGTAGCCTATCCCAAGGATTCTGGCAGGTTCCTGATTGAATTTGGGGCGGCAGTCCTCCTCGCTCCCCTAGCAACACTAATGTGGTAGACATAAACATACTATTTGGCATGGACTTCCCTTGAGGATTCTACCAACAGTTGCTGAAAACTCTTGCTTTCTAGCAGAAATGTTTGATACCTCAAATATGCACAGTGACCAGAAGAATTGTTTCCCATAGGAGGGATATCCATTACCTGGAAGTCCTGGGCCTGGCTGACTTGTGCAAGCTTGTTATGGAATCTCTAAGTCCACAAAACTTGTGAAAAGCTCTTCTTTAGAAGTTTAGTAGATTGGTGTTCTTGTGACTTGCCTTCTTGATCTTGATAGCAGTATTAACTCCTTCCTGTGCTTGGAAATATTAACTCTTTCAGCACCTGGAAATAGATCAGTTTTAATTAAGCTTCATAAGGTTGTTAGCTACTGAATGTCCCACTCTAGGATATTTTTTCCTGCTTACTTTTTTTGAACATGTGTTTCTCTTCCCTCTATGGGCAAAGTGCAGCTGTAGATGAGGGTGATAGTCATAAGCGACACATGTCTTGTTCTTTACACAGAGCTTAGCTGCCTAACAGAAGATGTTTATGACAGTAGTCTTGACAGCCCAGAATGGGTTATCTGGACTTTCTGTTTAGATAGAGAAAGACTGAGGCACTCAGTATGACATAGATTGACTTATCAGTCATTATACCTTTTAGTTGCAACTTAGCACCACAGAAATAGAGAAATAGCCACGATTGTGGGGTAAAGGTGGTGGCAGGTTAATTTTCTATTTAGTAACCTAGAGAGGAGGAAAAATTTTTTTCTCACTTTATAGGACTCAAGGAGATTGCTGGCAGTGAGTAGTTTCAATATTGGCTTATGTTTGGAAATATAGGAGTTAAAAATGCAGTTCTATTTTTCTAAAGAAAGAGCTGGAATCCAAGCATCCAAGTAGATATATTTGGCTTTGTTTAGTTCTGATATTGATCTCAAAAGTTTTCTTTGAGCTTTACAGGCCTGTAGGGAGGTGTATCTTAACACTTGGCCAAGAGTATATCATCTGATGAAGAGACCTAGGATCTTAACTTCACTAGTCTTTCTTCTAGTGAATAGCTGTGTGTTTCTCACTCATGTTAGCTCTCTTTGTAAACACTTCACTAAATAGGTAGGTAACCCTGATGCTTAGGTCTTTCGCAGTTGAAAGTAAGGTCCGCTGGATTCTTCTTAGCTAAGAATCAAATGATAACAAGAAAATAGAGAAGTAAAATTCATGGATTGTTGCTAATAATCTTTCTGTTGTTGATAATTTTTCTGTGCCATAGGAAGCTAGACTTCTTCTTCAATTGTATGGAAATACAGTGGTCTTTTACATACATTCTGTACTCTGGTGAAAGGACAATAGCAGTTATTAGAACATTTGTCCATGTATTAAAACAAACCGTTTTTAATCTTACTGTAACATGTGTCAGAGTAGTAAGCAGCAACATTTATCTCTAAATTTTAATGCATAGATGACCTTGTGGGAGAGGAAAAAAAAAAAAAAAAGCCCTAAATGTTCCAGATGAAAATTCATCTACCTTGACTAACCTTTCAGGGAAAAAATGAAATTGCTTTTGTTACGGCGAGTCTTCATTATCATCAACTTCTTGAGAGAAGCACTTTGGGTTCTGCTACTCTGTAAGTCTGGGTTTTTCTTTGTGGGTGGTAAAGCTAATCTCTACACTAAACTTTTGAGTTTTGCTGGAAAGTGATTGCTGGAAAGTGGTTAATATTTAGGCAATAATTAACCTTTCATGCTCAATCCAATCTAAGTAAATATTAGAATAACTATATACTGAGATGTAGAAGAAGTATTTTCATACTAAAATGTTGCCCTTGTTATCCTTTCAAGGACGTAATCTAATCATGCATGTCGTAAAAGTACTTGCTGTACTAAGAAAGACAGAAATGTGCTGTCCTTGCAAGTACTTCCTTCCTTCCTTTTCACAGCCAGTCCTTTTACTCCCTTCTCCTATTTGAAAGATCGGATGAAGGCAC